AGCAGGGAATTGTCACTGGTTCTTATTTCCAAACCTCTGGGCTCTCAGGCTGTGGGGAGGGGTGTGGGGCATGTTTCCCCAGGGGACCCTGCAAATGCCTCCCCAAAGGACGAGGAATATTCTGGAAAGCAAGCACCAAGGCTGAGGGTGAATGACAGTTTCCTGGACTATGCTCAGCGGGTTGGGCCGGTCAGAGAGCTGGGAGGTCCCGCGCTGGAAGGAGGTGGGGACTCGGCCCAGCCATGAGCATCTGGAGCCCCCGCCCCCCCACCCACCCAGCCCCCCACCTGAGCACAGGTGAGCTGCCCCGGAGGCCGCGGGCACTAAACTACTCTGAGCCCGATTGTCCACACTGGCCTGGTGTGGACAGGGCCTGGCAGGGGAGTCCCGCCCGGCTCGGCCTTACCGAGGGCGTGGTAGGTGGAAAACTTCCAGATCTCTTCGAAGGTCTTGAAGGTCACCACCAGCCGGTCCTGGTCGCTGTGGATGGACAGCAGCCGGGCCGACAGCTCCTGACCGGGAGAAGCAGGAATCAGGAACGTCCCCACGGCGCTGAGGCGTCTGACCGTAGGAGGGACGGTCACGAGAGGGGAACCTTTTGTAGACGTGACCCGGCCCGGCGCCAACACACAGCTGCCTCCTCGACAGCCCAGGGGCGCCCCTCACGCTCTCAAGCCCGCTGTGGCTCCCCAGCGCCTGGGGCACGTCCAGAGCTCCTGGGCCTTCCACGCTCTGGGCGCCCCGCCCCCCCACTCCCGGTTTGCCAGGGACCGGCCAGCATATGCCTGTCCCTTGCTGGCAGCGTGAAGGGGCACTGGAGCAGCACAGCCAGGACCCCTCACAGCCCAGGAATGTGTGTGTCGTTGGGGGCGGGGGGCGGGGAGTTGCTGTCATCCGCTTGCCTGGCCTTCTGTACGTGGCACAGCAGGGGTTCAGCCCAGAGCCAGCAGCTCACCCTGCAGCGCCTGCCCGGGGTCCCGAGGGCAGCCCCGCTGCTGAGCGCGTACAGGGTGCCCATGGAGCTGTGGGGGGCCTCACACCGGCTCCCTTGGGCCAGGCTGGCGGCATGGACAGAGGGTGGCCACCTGTCCCTAACCCAGCCCCTCCTCCTCCAGCCTCCTGTCCGACTGTCCGTCCCGCAGATCAGAGAATAAGATCAGCTCCCAGGCCCTTTACTCCTCATCAAGGGGCCTTCACAGCCCAGCGGGTGGAGGGCGCTGGGGGAAGGAGTGGGGGACCCTGGGAACTCGGTGGCCCCTGCGTGGCTTCGCCTGCAGGAGTGACGGTTGGTCCCTGGGGACACATACCCAGGAGAGCGGGCGGGGATGAGTCGCAGGCCACCACCAGGGGAGATGGAAGGCGGCCTCCCGCCCATGGCCTTGGCCCCTTGGAGGCCTGGACTCACAGACTCTGGTCCTGCTGCCCCCTGCCCCATTCCCTCCGCACCGTCCACCTGGTCCCCTTGTCAGGGGGGGGCCCTACACCTGCGCTCCCCCAGGTGCCAGGCCCCGGGGAGCCACTCACCCCGAGCGTGCGGGCCAC